TTAGCCCACTTATTTATTGGGCTGTTGTTTGTTTGACAATTTGTTGTTGAGGGATTTAATTTGTTGAGTTCCAAGTATATTTTAGATATGAGACCATTGTCTGTTTAATGGATAGTGAAGATCTTCTCTCAATCCATGGGCTTTCTATTGACCTTGCTAGCTATGTCCTTTGCCATGCAGAAACTCTGCAACTTCATGCAACCCCATTTGTCCAAGCTTTCTTTGATTCGTTGTGTTTCTGGGTCTCTATTAAAAAATTTTGGCCTGTGCCAAGGAGACCTAGGGTTTATCCTATTCCATCCCGTAATGGAATATCAACACCAAATTTCAAACTCTACTAAAAAGCCATAGTAATCAAACAGCTTGGTACTGGCACAAGAAGAGACCTCAGGACCAGTGGAATAGAATTGAAAATCCAGAAATAAACCCACAGACCTATAGTCATCTAAGGGAGCTAAAAAAAATAAAATGGAAGAAAGAAAGCCTCTTCAGTAAATGGTGCTGGCAAAATTGGTTAATCACTTGTAGACAACTAAAACTAGATCCTTATCAACTCTAAATGGATCAAAGACTTCAGAGTCAAAGCAGACACCCTGAACTCTAAAATTAAATATCCTTTGGCCGGGTGCTGGTGGCTCACGCCTGTAATCCTAGCTACTCAGGAGGCTGAGATCTGAAGATCATGGTTCAAAGCCAGCCCGGGCAGGAGAGACCGTGAGACTCCTATCTCCAATAAACCACCAGAAAACCGGAAGTGGCGCTGTAGCTCAAGTAGAGCGCTCGCCTTAAGCTGAAGAGCTGAGGGACAGTGCCCTGGCCCAGAGTTCAAGCCCCACGGCCGACCAAAAAAAAAAAAAAATTAAATATTCTACTACTTACTCTTTCTTGTTGGCTATCCAATATACAATCTTAACTTTAATATTTTTCACACTAAGTTCTTTGATTTTTTATTATTATTTTCAAAATGTTATACAAATGGTTTTGGTTCAACATTTTAATTTATAAGTTAAATGCATCTTGATCAATGTCACTCTGCCATTGTTTTTACCCCCACGCTCTTAACCCCACCCATCCCCTCAAGTCAGACAAGACTCTTCATTTTTACCAACACACTAATAAATCTATTTTCCCACCAGTGTTTGCCCATTATAGCAAGCAGCACTATCCAATTAACAACCTAAAGTTGTCATTTACACCTTTTTCTCGTACAGCATGTATCAAGTCCATCAAGAAATTCTGTTCAAAATATGGAAACAAATTTTTTCCTCCCTCTCTGTACTACTAATACCAAATCATTCATAATTTTTTTGTAATTTGCCCCTATTTTATTGCATATATCAGTAGTTCATTCCTTTTCAGTATTCAATTGTATTCTGTTATATAAATATGATACTTTGTTTATCTGATTTCTTGTTGATGAATGTTGGGTTATTCCAGACTTGAGGTACTCTGCATAGATCTGAAGATATTTTGTGAAGATATCTTTATGCTATTTGTTGTTGTCTGTTAATAGCTTTCCTTCCTGTTAGATATGTTGAAATGAAATTACTCTATTATTGGACAGATGTATGGTTAATCTTATAAGAAATATAAAACTATTTTACGGGGAAATTGAATCTTTTCCATTCACATTAGGAACATAGAAGAATTCCAATAGCTGCACATCCTTACCAACTTTTGGTATTGTCAGTCTTTTTTATTGTATTCATGCTAGTTGGTATGAAATGGTATCTCATTATGGTTTATGCATTTTCCTAGTTGTTAATGATGTTGAGCATCTTCTCACAACAAATTGATTATTTGTATCTTCTCTGTAAAGTGT